CCTTGTTTTGTTCCTGATTTTAGTGGAATCTCTTTGAGTTTCCATTTAATGGCTGTTGGCTTGCTGTAAATTGCCTTTATTATGTTTAGGTGTGTTTCTTGTATTCCTAATCTCTCCAAGACCTTTATCATGAAGGTGTGTTGGATTTTGTCGAAGGCTTTTTCAGCATCTAATGAGATGATCACATGGTTTTTTTCTTTCAGTTTGTTTATGTGGTTTATTACATTGACAGATTTTCGTATATTGAACCATCTTTGTATCTCTGGGATGAAGCCTTCTTGATCATGGTGGATAATTTCTTTGATGTGTTCTTGGATTTGGTTTGCCAGTATTTTATTGAGTATTTTTGCATCAATGTTTATGAGGGAGATTGGTCTGTAATTCCGGTTTTTTTTTGTTGCATCTTTGTGTGGTTTGGGTATCAGGGTGACTGTAGCCCCATAAAAGGCATTTACCAATGTTCCTCCTGTTTCTATTGTGTTCAACAACTTGAGGAGTATTGGTATTAGCTCTTCTTTGAAATTGTGGTAGAATTCTGGGTTGAAACCATCTTGCCTTGTACTTTTTTTGGTCGGGAGACTTGCAGTGACTGCTTCTATTTCCTTAGAAATTATATGTCTGTTTAATTTGTTTATCTGGTCTTGCTTTAATTTTGGTATGTGGTACTTATCCAGAAAATAAGTTGTCTATTTCTTTTAAATTTTCTAATTTTGTGGAGTATAGGTTTTTGAAGTATGACCTGATGATTCTCTGGATTTCCTCTTTGTCTGTTTTTATGTCTCCCTTTTGGTTTCTGATTTTGTCAATTTGGATATTCTTTCTGCCTTTTGGTTAGTTTGGATAAGGGTTTGTCTATCTTGTTGGTTTTCTCAAAGGACCAACTCTTTGTTTCATTGATTCTTTGTACTGTTCTCTTTGTTTCTATTTTATTGATTTCAGCCCTCAGTTTGATCTATTCTTCCTGGGTGAGTTTTCTTCTTTTTGTTCTAGAGCTTTCAGGTGTGCTGTTAAGTCCCTGTGTGAGACTTCTCCAGCTTCTTTATGTGGGCATTTATTGCTATGAACTTTCCTGTTAGTACTGCTTTCATAGTATCGCATAAGTTTGGGTATGTAGTGTATTCATTTTCTTTGACTTCTAGAAGTCTTTAATTTCTTTCTTTATTTCTTCCTTGACTTAGTGTTGATTTAGATGAGCATCATTCAGTTTCCATGAGATTGTAGGCTTTCTGTAATTTGTGTTGTTGTTTAATTCTATCTTTAAGGTATAGTGATCCCATAAGATATAGGGGTTTATTCCAGTTTTTTTTGTATCTGTTGAGATTTGCCTTGCAACAGAGTATGTGGTCAATTTTAAAGAAGGTTCCATGAGGTGCTGAGAAGAAGGTATATTCGTTTGTGTTTGGGTGGAATGTTCTTTAGATATCTGTTAAGCCCATTTGAGTCATAACATCTGTTAGTTCCCTCATTTCTCTGTTAATTTTTTGTCTGACATACCTGTCCATTGGTGAGAATGGGGTGTTGAAGTCTCCCACTGTTAGTGTGTGGGGTTTGATGTATGCTTTAAGCTTTAGTAATGTTTCTCTTACATATGTGGGTGCCCTTGTATTTGGGGCATGAATGTTCAGAATTGAAACTTCATCTTAATGGATTTTTCCTGTGATGAATATGAAATGTCCTTCTCCTTCTCTTTTGCCATGCCCAGTTTTTACTTTTTAGAGACTGCTTGTTATACAGCCTAGGCTTACTTGGACTCTTGATCCTTGTCTCTGCCTCCTGAATTCCCTGATTATGGACATGTGCCATCACACTTAGCTTACTGTTTTTAGTTGATTTATGAATCCTAGTATTTGCCTTCTTATGCCTATGGGAGCTTTTCTATTTGTCTATTTGTCATAGTATCCTTTTGTTCTGAAGTCTCTCTAGGTTGCCAGAAATATTCGTTTTCTTTAAATCATGTTAATAGAATCATTTCATTGACCAGAGACCTTACTTTAAGAACTGAAGCTGCTGGAGACAAACAGATGTAATGAACACACCTCAAGATACAGACGTGGGTAAGAACCTCCTGAACAAAATTTCAAAACTCAGAAAACAATTGCAAGAATTCACAAATAGGACTACATAAAAAAAGCTTCTATACAGAAAATAAAAAAATCAGAACAATGAAACAGCCACAGAATATAACAACTGTATAGATGATTGGTGATTAATATTTAGACACTATAAAGAAATAATAAAATTAAACATCAAATGAACAAATCATTTAACCAATAAATAGGAAAATGAGCTGATTACACAGTTCTTCAAAAAGGAAATACAAGTGGCAAAAAATATGTGAAAAGAATGCTCAGCATCTCTGGCCACCAGGAAAATGCAAACTAAACCTTTACTGAGATACCATCTCTGAGGGCCAGTGAGATAGATGCTCACTGGTAAAGGTGCCCATAAGAAAGGACTCTAGCAAGTTGTCCTCTGACCTTCACATGTGCCTATCACTGCCCTCTCCTCCACATAAACAAAAAATGTTTTAAAACAACAAAAACAAAATAAATAAAAAGAAAACCCATCTCTGTGTCAACCTGCTCCAAATAGCAATTATAAAAAACAAACCAACAAAAAACCAAACAATAATAAGAACAAAAGACAGAAAATGCTGGTGTTGTGGGAAAAAGGACCTTTATAAAGTAAAGGATCCTTGTGAAGATGTAGTCACTGTGGAAAACAGTTTAAAGATTTCTCAAAATGCTAACAATAGAATTACCATATTATTGAGCTATGTCTGTCCTGGGTTTATACCTGAAGGATACTAAGTAAGCACACTTCAGTGATATTTGCACATTATATGTATTTATGCACTAAACCAAGGTCTGAAACCAGCCTTGGTACCTATCACTAGATGAATGGATAAAGAAAATGTGGTTTATACACACAGTTTACCCATAAAGAAAAATAAAATTAGGACACTTGCTAGAAAATGGAGCATGGAGAGATCATTATGTTAAATTAAAATAAGTCAGATTCAGACAAATGCAGTATGTTTTCTCTCGTCTTTAAATTTAAATATAGATGTATGAATAAAGTGTAATGGCATGTGAATGTACTGTGAAATCCTTGACTTTGTATGCTAACTTAAAAATGCAAGAATAAATCTATGTTATACAGATTTTACAGAATAATTGTATTAGTATTATAATGAACACATATACGACATGCTAGTAGGAGGTGACTGAGGGAGGAGGAAGGGATATAAATAGTGAGGAAGGAGAAACAAACGGGTAATAGGGGGAAAAAAGCAAGCAAGCCATGCTTTCTCTTTTGTGTAGAAGCTAGATTTAACTATACACATTGCCTCCTTTTCTGCACAAATGCCATGAAAGCCAAAGGAGACTATTTGATTGGAGGATGATGAGGTGAGAGGGGAGGAGAAGGGAGGGAGAAAGTACTGGGGTAATAAATTTGAGAAAGATGCAATGAAATATGTATAAAAACTTCTTATGAAACCCATTTTGTACTCTAAGAAATCAATAAAAAGAAACTTTTAAGTACTGGTTTCAGTTATTTGAGGTTTCTCTTTATATAGTTTATCTTAAGCCTATTTGTGTCTTTAAAGTATGTTTGAGGAAGACAAAATATGATTGTGTTTTTAAAATCCCACTTTGGGATTTGCTTTTTAGATGGAGTTTGTAGTCCTTTCATATTTAATGTAGTTATTGATAGGGTTGGATTTTTCTGTTTCATAGTTTTTCCAGTCTTCTTGGTTCCTGTTTCTCTTTTCTGCCTTTTTTTGCTTTAAATATGTTGGAGTGTACAATTTTATTTTGTTGATTTTGAAAATACTAAAAAACATTTTTTAGATGTATTTACTTTATTTTATGTGTTTGAACATTTTGCTTGCATGCATATACATACAGCGTGTGCCTGAAGTGGCTAGAAGAGGGTGAGAGATTTCTTGGAACTGGGGTGTTGCTATGTGATTGCTGAGATCTGAACCCTGGTCCTCTGCAAGAGCATCCAGTGCCTTTGAACACTGATCCATCTTTCCATCCCCTTTAAAAATACTTTTTAATTTGCTTTCTTAGAGTTTGCTCTATGGATTATAATATGCATCTCAGTTGATTGCTGTTTCCTTTAAAGTCTTTGCCTGTACCAATCTGTTACGCTTAAACTGCCAGCTTTGTTTAAGTAGTTCATTTTCTTCTTTCCTCTTCTTATCTTCTGCTGACATATTTATGATATGATATTTTATGAACCCAATTTTGTATTGTTAAATTATTACTTTAAGATATTTTGAAAGAAATGAAGAAATAGAAAATGTTAATCTTTTCATTTTAGCGCATATATATGTATTTACTTTATATATATGTGTGTATATATATATGTATATATATATATACATATATATATATATATGTATTTACTTTACCACCTTATCTATTTTCCATTCTTTGCTCCAAATGTCTTATGTACTAATGTCAATGAGACTGCTGGTTTCCACAGTACTTGCTATCACTAATCACCAGGCTCAGGGCAGCTGCAGGTGAGGTAACAGAAGTGTCCTGGGCAAGGATGGTAGCAGCACTTCTGTGGAGCAGTTCATTCATTTCCCTTTGTCATACACATGTGTGTGTGCACACACACGACAGACAGACAAATACATGTGCATATTTTTCAAGCTCTTTTCTCTGCTTTTGTTAGAAGTCTAGGTTGGAGTATTTTATTTTATAGAATGATCTTTTGACATTGAGACAATTTAAAAAGTTATATATAATTAATTTTATTGGTATTCTTGTTTATTCATTCTTTAGTCAGATTTTTGGATATTACTAGCCTTTAAAGCATATGTTAAGTTTTGAATAGTTAAGAAATTTTCATTAAAGCACTACATTGGATTTGTCTTAATATACAATGAAAGCTAATCGAGGTTCGAATTTTTCCTGAGTAATGCATTTGTCCCCCTAAGGAAGACTAATATCTGCTAAGGTGGTTGATTTCTTTTGTAGGCACTATCCTGCACTGAAGACTCTGGAGCATCTGGAACACACATATCTGCCTCAAGTGAGCCACTACCGATTCTGCAAGGTGATGGTGGACAACATCCCCAAGCTTCGGGAGGAGATAAAGGATGTTTCTATGTCTGATCTCAAAGACTTTCTGGAGAGCATCCGCAAGCATTCAGACAAAATAGGAGAGACCGCCATGAAGCAAGTAGGTCCTTGGTTTATGACAGATATGCCCTTGGCTTTGGAAGTATTCAGTTACACACAGATTTCTCCTTTCCATGTATCTTAATTACTTCTTATCAATTTAGGAAGGTCCTTCATAAATGAAAATGTTATTATCTTAGCAGTGATGAGATGTGTTGTTAACTCTGTGGCTGTTGAGCAAACAGTGACTGATTGTGATGGTCCGTGTCAGAGTCTGGAGAGAATTCAGTTTACAAAACATTTCCCTTGACTTTGTATAATATTGAAATTCCAGAATCTTTTAAACTTTCCTTTTAGTTAACAACATAAATTGTGTTACATGTGCCTTTGGTTGATTACTTACTGTTAGGAAGATGTCACACCATGCAAAAATATATCTGATATTGATGGGTGTTAGTGACAGAAAGGTCTCTTGGGGATTGTGGATTATGATTGCAGAGAGGGAAATAGTTATAGCCCATAAATTCAGCAAATGTGTTAGGAATATTTATTTTCTTTAAATGACTTCATCTCCAAGTCCCTAATCCCATGAGGAATGCCTTTTGTCATTGTGAATGAATGAACAATAATGATTTGCAGTAACACTTCCTCTTGAAATTTAGGTCACATTGATGTTATAAAGATGCTTTAGCATACTTGATGATGTAGCTTGCAATAATAAATAGATTTTAATTATTTATGGAGAGTGCCTTATGGTTTTGTAAACAAGTGTTCTCAAGTAGATTTGTATTCTAATGGGGGGAACAAGGCACAGTAGATTACATTTGGAAGCATTATTTTAGTGTTCAACTAGCATTAATAATAGCCTTAGTTCACATATCTGTCTGATATTACAGGAAGGATTTTCTAATTAGTTTTTCATAAGGCATGCTTTTTTAAAATCTCCTTTAAAATTTTATTGGTGTTTAAAGTGCAAAGTGTAGGCTCCAGTTCTTGTCTCATTCTCTTGAGTGCTGTAACTATAGGCCTGTGCCACCAATCCTTAGTGCTGGACTTAAAGGCACATGCTGCCATACCCAGCTGGAAGCTGGCTTTTTAAGGGTTGCTTTTCTAGGCCTCTGCTAGACAGATTTACTTGCTTTTGCTGAAAGAAAGTTCTGTTATAAATATTATCACTTCATTTAATTTGAGGTTAGCTGTTCTCATTCCTTAATTATCTGAGGAAATGAATGCCCAGATCAGACGCTGTAGTAGAAATCAGATAAAGTTGGAATGGATATGTTAACTATGACATTTAGTCTTTGTAAACTAGTAAACTGTTAGCTGGTATATTTTTATTCCACAAAGGAATAGTGAAGAAATATTTTATGATTTCAGTACTTTTAATTAACCATAAGAAATTTCATATTAGGAATGGCCTTCAGTGCATGAATTGCTATTGTATGTGTGTGCAAGTATGTGCATGCGTGTGTGGTGCATGTATCCTTGAATAAAGATACTTTAGAGTTTTTGTTGTTGTTGTTGTTGTTTGCTTTGTGTTTTGAGACAAAGTCCTCATTCTATAGTCCTGGCTGGCCTGGTATTTGGTATATATACTAGTCTGGCCTCAAACTCAGAGATCCAAGCCTTCCAAGTGCTTGGATTAAAGGCATGTGCCACCATGATCATCTCTGAATGTATTTTTTTAAATACTTTTTTCTGTTAGACTATGAATAATTGGTTTCTTGAAGGCATCTATTATTCTGTTCAATTATTCTCTTTTCTAACTCAATTAAAAGCTCTTCCTCTCCTCTCATGATTCCCTTTTTAGTTTCATTGCACGTGCACACGCACACATGCATGCATGCCCGTGTGCATAGACACATACAGAATTTAAAATTAAAATTGTGCATTAAAGAAAATGTGGTACTTGTCTTTTTGGATTTGATTTATTTCATGTAATGTCATGATTTTACTCTATTCATGGCTGCATATTTATCACATTTTCCTTTATTCATTCGTTTGTTGGTGTTAGGCTGGTTCCATTTCTTGGCTGTTGGGAGTAGTACAGCAGTAAATATTGACATGCAGATGTCTCTGTAGAATGCTAATATAGAGTCCTTTGGTAGTATACCTAGAAGTGTATGGTTGGGTCATATGGTAGTTTATTTTCAATATTTTGAGAACCTTCCATTCTTTTTTGCATAGTGGCCATACAAGTTTATACTTCCACTTGTGTTCTATAACTTCCCCATATCCTCACCAGCATTTGTCATTGTTTTCTTGTTGTCAACCATTCTGACTGGAGTGAGAACTATTAAACATTTATAATTTATTTTTCCTTTCTTCCTTCCTCCTCCTTTCCTCCCTCCCTCCCTCCCCCTCTCTCTCTCTCTCCCTCCCTCCCTCCTTCCTTTCCTTTTTGTGTTTTTGAGAAGGGTTTCTCTACATAGCTCTGGTTGTCTTAGAACTCATTATGTAGCCCAGGCTGGCCTTGAACTATTAGAGATCCATCTGCCTCTGCCTCCCAAGTGCTCGGATTAAAGGTGTGCACCACCACGCTTGGCTAATTTACATTCTTGATGGCTAAGGTTGTTGAGCACTTTTCTAAACATTTATTCACTGTATTTTTTTCTCTGAAAACTGAATCTGTATATTCAGTTTATGAGCTTTTCAGTCTTTTATGGTACCTAGAAACTAAAGATGTTATGGTAGAAATTACCACAGGCTTTGTACATCGCATTATGCTTACAGTGTATTTGTGTGAATTAATAGATGTTGGAAAAGTGGGAGAAGTGATTTACTTTTCATTTATGGTGTTTGATGATTTATGATTATTTTATCTTATAATGGTGGTTTAGGGGCCCAGAATCTTCCCATCGTGTGTGTCTGCCATCGCCAGTATGCTTTGGAAGATTGCAATAGAAGGACCAAGACTAAGGATAGTTTTAAGTAGCAAGGAGGAATGCTACATGTTATTACTTGTAGCTACATCCCATGGACTTAAAATGAATCAATGACATGGAGACTGAAAAATGAATCCTTTCTGTATGCCTGTGAAGATTTGGTCAGTGTAATTGGTCTTTGCCACCTGCTGGTCAGTAGCTGTGTGTCTTCATGCCTTCTCCCATGCATAGATCACACTCACACCTTCCCTAAAAGAGAAAGCCCGGTGTATTCTCCTGCCCATTTTTCTTGATGCTCTTCTTGCCTGTTCCTAGGCTAAAGTAATGTGTGTGTATTCACATGTTGTAACTTAAAGTGATTTTTTTTCAAAGTGCCTAAAGAACTTCTTTGTTAATTGTGTACTATTTTCATTTTGAAACTAATTTCTGGTACCCTTGTAATGGAATCTACTTGTGTAGGGGGACATTTCTGTATTTCTTATTTTGATTAGCTTGCCTTAGGCTTTGTGGGCCTGAATGACATTTATGAGATAAACATTCATCATTAGGCTGATTTTGGTTGTGAGGCCCTTTAGCTGAGAGGTTTTACTTACTTTTAAAATCCTCTCTTGCCTTTGCCAAATTACTTGGTTGTATAACTGATGTTAAGAAAAGAAGCTGTCCTCTGCATATAGATTATGGCTTTGATTTTAGTGTTTTTATGGGATTCCTGAGTGTGTGAATGAGTGGGTCTCTGATTCTGATGCGTTCTCTTGGGCTCTTTTTCCTCTGTTTTTGTTCAATTTCAATGTGTTAGTTTTTGTTTTATCTAATTTTATTTCATTATTAAAAAATAAAAAATATACCTATATGAAATCTAAATGGAATCACCAAATAATGGGGGAGACAATGCCTCAACTGGACATTTTATGCCAGTTCCTGAAACCTCCAGTTCTAGGAATGAGTTACATCTAGTTGAGTCATTGGCTAAAGGGGCTCCATCCAAAAATCCAACCATCTTAGGCTATTGCTAAGGCTCTTGGTTGCTCTCATAATAGGGTGTATTAAGGCCCTATTACTGAAGACAACACTTACATATCTCATTGAACTAGAGGCTTCATTCCTACTGACTAGTGTTTATGGTACTGGAAGGTATGTTGCATGCTACCAGAGGAAAAAGGTAATCACCAACCCAGCCACAAGCTCTACAGCTTACAACAGTGGCCTTTCTGCACAATATCACTGTGCAGTAGTGGCACAAATGTGGGCCCACTCCCTGAGATGGAACAGAGACTTGACACTGCTCAGGTGGCCAAGAACCTGAGACTAGATAGCTCAGGGACCTAGAGGGAAAACCAAATACTAGTATTCTGCTAAAGGAACATAGCAACAAAATAACTTCTAATGACATTATGCTTTGCTTAGCTATCATCAGAGAAGCCTCTTCTTGAAATATAAAGGAACTAACACAGAGACTCACAACTGGACAGTGTACAGAGAGTAAGAGACTTTGGAACATAGTCTTAAATGGATGTCTTGAACAAAGCCCTCCTCAGGGATCTATGCAAAAGAGGAGCCAGAAAGATTGTTAAGTACCAGATATAATGGATAACTCAAAGGAAACAGTGTCTTCTGGACCTGTGAAGTCTTTGCATGCTGCTATAGTCCTTGTGAGTTCATATTTGTATCAGTCCTTTTGTGTCTGCAATCGATACTTATTTGGAAAAGAAAAATTACTTTTCTCCAATGGAGTCTTATTAGGTATATCAACCACACTTTAGGGTAGGCCCTATATTTAGGAGTTGTTGGCCAACACAAAATGAACTCAAATGGTATTTTTACTTTTATTGATTCTTTGTGGATTTCACATGCATTCCAGTCCCACTTACCTCCCTGTCCCCTCAAAACCACCCTCTACCCTTGAACCTCTCCCCCAAACAAAACCAAATTTAAAGGAAAAAGCAAAACAAAATAAAGATCCAAAATAAAAGTATCAATAACAAAAAAACACCCCAAAACAAACAAACAAACAAACAAACAAACAAAACCCCCAAAAAACAAAAATAAAATCTTGCCCTGGAAGTTGTTGTGTGGCCCGGCAAGTCATACAGTTTATCCTTTAGTCCATACATCTTTATTTGTAAGTGTTCATTGCTATGAGTCATTGGTCTGGTCTGAGGCCTCTTGGTTTCTGCTA